GCAATGCCCAGACGTGGGTGGTTAGGGAAGAGCGCAAGAACAGGGTAGGTGGAAATGAGACCCCTTCCATGCCTGCAACCATTTAATATCCAGGCCACTGTGCATGTCCTTTCTGGTCAGTATTTGCAATGATGGGCTGTAACAATTTCCTCTATTTCCCAAGATGTTCCAGGAACCTGGGAAACAATTTGGATCAACTGCTGTTTTCAGCTCTCGTGTTGTAAGCTCCACAGATTTTCCTTTGTACAGGTAAAATCAGATTAGAGTTTGGCTGAATATAAATGTATTTTTCCTATCCAAAACATTTGTATAAGAAATCTCAAGTACTGACAATATTTTTGAAAGAAATATTTCTTGTTTCACCGTATCATTTTTCCCTTCTTTAAATTCTTTCTTCTGGCTTAGCAGGGAACGACACTGCCTTTGAAAAAGGGAGGAGGAGATAGCAAATCCCTGAAAAACTGCTGCGGCTGAGAGGACGGATGCTGTTTATTTTACACCGAGACTCCAGCTGTGGCACTCATCAGACAATCTAAAGTTACGCGATTTCCAAACTTTGCAGTGCACGCCAAGGTGGTAATACGATGCCGAAGGTAACGCGATCCACTGACTAGAAAGATGTTAATCCTGACAAACTGCCTGAGCATTAGCCTGAACCACAGCTAGATTGAATTCTGTCTCCCCTGAGAGGGCCAGCAATGCTGGTGGTAACAAAACGGCTTTTCATAGCGCCCTGGAAAGCAGCTGGGCCAGAGGCAGCGGGCACGGGAAGAGCATCAGTGCCCTCTAGCGCTCAGTCGCTTGCCGGCCCGCCTTCACTAGACCTGTTGATCAAATCAGAGCAACACTAAAACTCGGCGTCGCACGAATTCCTGCAAAAAATTCTGGCTCCTTTAATAAAACCCGCCCCTACGGGAGTATCAGTTACAACTTGGTTATTGTTCAGTAATACTGAAATGACTTTAAATGCCTTACCTACACAGAAAAAAGAAAATGAATGAGCTTAAAAATTCTGCATATGGAGTCTTCCCCTTAAACGAATCAGTAATTTCACAGTCTAGTGACCTAGTATCCTAGGTCTTCAGCATGGAAGTTCAAACACAAGACTACCTTTTCCCCTAAAATACTGTAAGAGGGTCTTAGAAGCAGATGACCGATACTCTGCAGCATTCCTTGGACCCAAAAAATGGACAATGCAAACTGAAGTGCCATTTTAAAACAAACGAGTATAGCATAAGAAACTTTGCACAGCCTTTTAGCTTTAAATATCAGTAGAAAAGCTCCTACACAAAAAAAAAAAAGGCTAGAAAGTATGCTGCTTAACTGTTTCAAATGAATTGATTCCAGATGAGAAGCCTGTTTCTCACCCACTAAAGATACTTGGCCAAACCCCCAGCTTACAAAATGGATTCAAATGGTTTTAAGGAGTTCACCAAGGAAGAGGATACGCTACTTTTAAGTCCCAAATTCCTTTAAATTTTCATGATACCTGAGCTAGAAAATAGTATCTGAGAGTACCATAGTTATCTCAGAAATAAAATATTTGTTTCTTCTCAACAGTTTCTTCATATAAATGTTTTGTGCAGTTTCAGCATTTGCAGACTACACAAATGTTAGTCTCTTAAACTACTAGGACTCCCGAACTTCACATGTTTCCTGCACTAAATTAAATTAAGTATGTCAAAAATTATCAAAATGGTATATGAACTGAAGATGAAATCACGTGATATATTTTAAAACATTTTATCAGCTAAATCATGAAAACGCTTCTAATCTTTTCCCTGTATTGTTAGGCAATCAAAAATTTGATTTTGTTGTCCTGTCTCTCGGTCAACCGTTTCCATACACATCTTCCTTCTGAAACTGCTGATGATAAATTGCAATGACTTATCTCATCTCTTGACATACTTTACTGTAGCAGCTTCTGTGGTAATGAAGTAATCTAGTTCTTAGCGATTTTTTTGGACACAAAGCACTTAAAATTTTAGCAAAGTTGAAACCGATGTGGAGAAGGCTATAAATAGCATATTTTGTCCATGATCATTCCCAGATGCTCTAGTGCAAGGCTGAGGTGAAAATACAAATTTCCTACTGCAGGGCCAAAGCACAAGAGTCAGAGGAGAAAGATGCCTTTGAAGTAATTTTCCTAAAGATTTTCACATTTTTTATTGAAGATGTAGTTCTCTGTTTTGTAACTTTATCTTGTTCTTCTCTTCCAAGAGGAAGGAGAACTGCTTCAAAAGTATGGTCAGAAACTTCTGTTTTCTGGCGGGTAGTAGACTGAGAAATATGCTAGAAAAATGCTTTGTGCATTAAGGTATGAAGCTCAGACCTTTTGCTCTCAGTCACCCCCCCCCCCCTTCTTCACTGCCTATCTGCCAAAAACATGAACCGTGCTGATGCGCTGCCACGAAAATGTTCCTCATAAAAAACATCTGCAATTCTACTTCCATCTCCTTCTGTGTATCCCTCCACATAAAATCATGCAAAGGATTGAGTACAATCATCGATTTGTGCTTCAGATTCTCAGTGGACAGAACTGATGTGAGGCAGACATCAGATTAATTATTGCAGAATCTCATTATTAAAAGCAAATTTATTTACTAAGTTAGCCAGTGTAGAAAAGAGAACAAAGTATTTACCTGGAGAATCGCACATACTTTAGAAAGATTGAAGCCAGCATAAGAGGAAGGGAGGGAGGAAAAAGAAAGACATTCAGTCATGTCTGAGCGTTTGCTTCCCTGCTTCCGAATCTGTTACTGCTTTTTTCATTCAAGAGTTGCATTATTAAATAATTAAAGATATTTAATTTCTTAATAGAGGGTTCACAGTCTGTGAAATTCCTATTGTATCACCGTCACAAATCAACAGGAAGAAAGTCTTTCCCGGGGAGTTACTGGCCACTAGAACGTGAACAAGAAATGAGCATTCTCCTTATAAAGGGCCAATTTCTGAATTAGTGACCTCATTTGCTAAAGAGGTTCCTTTGTCACAGATATCTTGGTAGGTAAATACTGTGTTACATAGCCACACTGTCCTTTGTAGCAATGCTACAAAGAAGATCGCCTAGCATATACCAGCTCTCCTCATCAAATGAATATTTAAAAGAGTAGACAATAAAGGGGGACTTCTACAGAAGGTAAAGGCGTTTATATGATGATGTCAGCTTGCAATATGTGCTCCTGAAGGACTGCACGGGAAGCAGCTTTATTCTAAAAGTTAATGGCATTTATGTGGACCTCCAGCCTGATCTATTGTACCTTTCTCAGGGATGTGCTTGTGTGTATATCACCCAAGAGTCTAATGATTTTTGGACTAGCCTGTATTAGAGACAGATACCATTTTGGTACCTTGTGAATAGTAATGCAATTGAAAGACAGCAAGCAATTAGATATTTAAAAAAAGCCAACAGACAAAAATCAGAGTCTTTCCCTTTTCTGTTCTGGGTAGAGTATCCTTCATTGCATGCACTCATAATTTCTGCATATCCATTTCATGCCTGGGAGCTACAGTGCAAGATTTTCAGTTCGGGGCTTTCAATATCTGCTTATCTGGAGGAACGCTTTAAAACGGGCAAATGCTCGCGCTCCCCTCCCCCCCTCCCCCAAGTAAGAGCTAGGGGGAGGGAAAAAAAGAAAGGAAGAAAGAAAGAAAGAAAGAAAGAAAGAAAGAAAAGAGCGTTTGCCACAGTGTTGCTTTTCTCCTTTCGGGGAAAGACCTATTTCTTCCCGGTCTGGAGCCAGCAGGGCTCTGCACTGAGCTGCGGCACGGAAATCCAGGCGGACTCGCTCCGGAGCGCCTCGGCGGAGTTGCCAGCTGCGCCCCGCGCTCTG